TTCAGCGAATCCAAAAATGCAATAATATACAGGACATTCCATTTGAAAAAACGCAATTTTGATACCTTTAGACTTTTTGGGACACCCTGTACATTACGAAAATATTTTTAAAATGTGCGCTCTGTAGGCGTCGGACAATTCATAAAAGAATACTTTTTAAAAATCAAACGGTTTAGCCGCAAACTTCCGTGCCGTATAGCGTGAATAACCCTGTATAGTACAAAATGAGCAGCAATTAAACCCATTAAGTTTAGGCGGTAGCATTGTGGGGTTCGGTGCAATGAGGGTGAAGGACGGCCGGCACGGCGCTCTACACGTGGTTCATGCGGCGACGGCGCGCCGCCCCACGCATAACATCTGGATAAATCCAACACACCTGATGAATTAGTTGTCTTATGCTGCTGTATGCATCAAGAAAGTTTGCTCTGATATGCTCTTGTGCGATTATCAAAAGCAAACGATTCTTTAAAATTATTCTGGTGAGTGTGGTGCACAGACTTGTTTCAGAAAATTCAGCATGGTTTTAATTCACCATTAATGATGTCAAATTGTAGCCTGGAGCAACATTGGTTCACTGTCTATATAAAAATAGGTGCTTACGAGAACCTGATTTGCCGGCTCGGAATTCAATTTGATCTATATGAGTAGCATCAACAAGAAAATAGCAGGAAAACGGTAGCCATTAATATATGTAGTTATATATTTGCTTAGATTGTAATAAGCGACAAGCAAATGTGATTAAAATAACAGCGTCAAAATTTTAACTTTTTTAAATTAACGTCAACTTCACAAACAATAACAATAACAGACGGAAAACTCGCTCTTCCGACTCGCGGGGTTTAACCTCTTCTGAACTCGGTCGCTGCTGTCACTTCACTGACTCCCCGTATTATTTGAACATATTTTTTATCAGCTAAGTTTACAAACTTCCTACTGCTACTTATCTACGGGTTCTTAAATCTAACATCGTTGCCGTGTGTTATTGTTATTGTTTGTGAAGTTGACGTTAATTTAAAAAAGTTAAAATTTCAACGCTGTTATTTTAATCACATTTGCTTGTCGCTTATTACAAACTTAGCAAATATATCACTACATATATTAATGGCTACCGTTTTCCTGCTATTTTCTTGTTGATGCCACTCATATATATCAAATTGAATGCCGAGCCGGCAAAGCAGCTCTCGTAAGTACCCACTTTTGTATAGACTGTGAACCAATGTTGTTCCCATAGAAAAACGTACACAAATGCATCTGTTTAATCTGAGTAAATGAAACATATAGAGATAAAGGTCAGAAAATGAATGAATCTTTCATGCTTAGAACAAATCGATTAATACAGATATTTACTACGCCTATGGTTAGCAGCCAGGCGAGCTGGTTTTCCGGTTAATTCTAAATTCTACTCTTTGATCGGTACCTACTTTTAGTACTTTCATCCCTACCACCTGTTTTTTTTTCATTGAAAAATCGCCGATCGGTAGAATTTAATGTTGGTCCCAAACAAATCAGGATTAACGAATCACTAGCTTGCTCTATTTATTAATGTCTTTGATTGTAACAGTCGGTTCAAAATGTCCGCTTGTCCAATTGTAAAAGGCATCCAAGGTTTGGGTCATCGGGCAGGGTATCGCAAACAATCAACTTACTTAATTAGCGAATAGATGTACCTTTTTAATTTGCACCCCCTCTGGTTAATAACTAATAGCTTACTTACTCGACGATATACCGACAGCATAGGATACATTCGGTTTGTTTCAGTGATGCATATCTACGCTGAGACGTGGACAGGCCTGCTCCTGGGCATGCCTGCACTCAGGCCACCGCCATCGAGTTACCCGCGGGTATGGTAGGGTTTTGGAGTGTGGGATTGGCAGCAGCGGCCTGGCTGTGTCTGGCTGCAGGGCTGCCGAAGGGGCTCTCCGGATTTCGATCACCCTTGCCCAGCTCTGGTGTTCTCTTGGCCCAATACCCTCGAGCTGGTGAACCTTCACTTCGACTCTCTCACATGGCCATCGATCACAAGACGCGTAGGATTTATGTCGCAGGTGAGTCGACTTCAACACTGAATCATGCTGTTCTGTTGCATCCAGAAATGTTTTGTGTGATACAGGTGTTAATGTTCTTCTTCAACTGGATCCAAATTTAAACTTGGAACACATCGTCGAAACCGGCCCCAAAAATGACAGTCCTCTTTGTCATGCCACAGGCTGCACTACAGATATATCCGTCTCCCTTATGGACAATTACAACAAAGTTCTTCTTGTGGAACCCGAATCGCGAAGTCTAATTATGTGTGGATCCTTGTACCAAGGTGCTTGCTCCAAGTTTCGTCTTAGCAATATCAGTGCCGAGGCCATATTCATACCAAGAAGTGTTGCAGCCAATGATGTGAACGCGTCCACATACGCATTTATCGGTCCGAAAAGTTATAACCCTTGGGGTCGATCAAATATTCTTTACGTGGGAACTACCTTTACGAACCAGGGTGAGTATCGACATGATGTTCCAGCTATTGCCAGTAGGGATTTGGACACGATGGAGTATGCAGAAGATTCGTTCAGCAAACAGTCCATGGTTCAAATTGATGTCAAATACAGAGATCATTTTATTATACAATACATATATGGCTTCAATGCAAGCGATTATGCGTATTTTGTAATCGTACAAAAGCAATCTCATCTTCCGGGACAAGAAGAGCAAGGATATGTATCGCGATTAGCCAGAACTTGTATCAACGACCCCAACTATGATAGTTATACAGAAGTGACTTTACAATGCGTAGACGGTGATGAAAAATATAATCTCGTTCAGGATGCCAAAGTAACGTTGGCGGGGGAGGAACTGGCCAATGCCATGGACATCGAAATAAATTCTCCTGTTTTAATAGCCGCATTTAGACCAGCTAAAGGAATTACCAACGAACCCCAAAACCACTCAGCACTATGCATATTTTCTATGCGGGATATCGAGAATAAGTTTATAGAGAATATACACATGTGCTTTAATGGCAGCGTGAAATATAGGTGAGTTTAGGCGCAAAAGAATATTGAAAACATTTAAAGCATGTGGGGTGTGTTATTTAGGAATATGGGTTATATCTCCGGTCCCGTATTAGACGGGAAATGTCCAACCAGTGGATCTGCTGGGAACATTCCGAATTTTTGCGGAGACGTAGGTTTGAAAATTAGTGGTATTACTCCCATTTCTACCAATGCAGCGCTTACCTTCCCTAATATTTCGTTATCTGCTGTTGCAACGGCCTCAACCGGGAGACATGTGATGGCCTTTTTGGGCACTACCGATGGATTCATCAAGAAAGTGTTACTTAACGGACCATCTCCTCCTGAGTATGAAGAAGTACTTGTTGATTCGTCAAATCCGATTTTGCCCGATACCACGCTTTCATCGACAGGGGACTACCTTTACGTTCTATCAGCAACAAAGGTATTTTTTCCATTTTGAAAGTCGTAGTTGCATTTATTCCATCACTTTATCTTTATACTAGCTTAGAAATCGTTTTGTTTGTCGACGTTGCACCTGCACGTTGCAGTTGTGCGTTGTCGATAAAATAAGTTATTCCAATGTTACTACTTTTCGCCATTAAATCAGGTCTAGTAGAAATTAACGAGAAAAGAGCAGGCATGCAATAATCGCGTAAAATCGGAAATGTACGAACTGCCCAATGAATTGGATTGTAAGATTACACATTTTTCTGCTTGTTCACTGATCCCTTAATTTTTTTGTTATACAGGTACCATCAAACATGCTATAGATATTTAGTATATATCTTGCCAGTAAAATAGATTTTATAGTTACAAGACAGATTAATTTGTCATACTATTATCCCTTCTGAATTGGATTTTTGTAGGTTTCTAAAATAAATGTGGAGCATTGCAGCACCTACACAAATTGCTCTGCTTGTTTAGACTCCAAGGACCCTTATTGCGGTTGGTGTTCGTTGGAAAAACGGTAGGTTTAAAATATTAGTCCGGTAGTTTTACATAGCGTTTACCTTGTGACCACATCATTTTTCGATATAGTTATGTTTTTCACAATATCTACTTGATTGGGATTGGGATATAAAAATTATACAGCCTTCGGCCCTTACATTTGGAAGTCAACTAGGTACCAAAGTAGACCGGGTTTTCGGATTATGCGTCAGGGAGTTTTTAAGGGTGATTCTACATGCTAAAATCATGGTAGTAAGTTGTATAAATATGATATTACAAAAATTCTAAATCTAAATACTTTCCGAGTTACAGCTTATCAAATTTCATTTTTTCATTTTATTTTCGACTTATTCCGGACATTTCTTTGAGAATCAAATTGAAACTAGATACAGAGTTTAAGCTTCAATCGACATCAAAGTTTTTATCATTCTCAAACCAATGTTCTTGGATTTAATTACAATCGCAGCAAATTAGGTCGTCTGGTTTTAAAATGTGCCAAATTTGAGAATTTATGATCACTCTTAAAAATTGCCTAGCGCATTATTCGAACACCCTGTATATTTTCACGAATGAATCAAACAACTTTCTGATTTATATGAATATTTATTTTTGCTTTGTTTATTTGGAAATTACATATTTGAAATAAGCATTCGTTTTCTGTGATCACCAATCACAGGCACATCACATTTTACAGATTCATTAGAATATGGAATACTTTTACGATGCAGTTTGTTGCAAAATAAATGTAATTTGGTATGTTACAACTCTGCTTCAACCGCCCAATCAGAAGAATTTATAACATCGCATCATTAAAGAGACAACTTATGAATATATAATATCAGCGATTCTATTGTTGTAGATGTACGATAAGAAGTGCCTGCCAAAAGGCATCACATAGTGCTCCTCGTTGGTTGTCTTTAGGTACTGGTCAACAGTGTATAGATTTTGAACAAGTTCAGCCAGAGCGAATACCAATCAATCAAATGACTACCGTCCGTTTAACTATAAGAACTCTGCCAGAGCTGCCGTATGGCGCTAAATATAAATGTGTTTTTGGGTCGTCAGATCCCATAGACGCTCAAGTTACAGAATTTGGACTTAGTTGCCCAACTCCAGAAATTAATCGGAGGCCAAAAATACCGGCAAAAACTGACCACATTTTAGTGCCGCTCAGTGTGCGGTCCTCGGAAACAAATAAAGATTTTGTCTCAAGGAATTTCGCATATTATGACTGTGAAAAGCATACAACGTGTGGAGACTGTGTCCGGTCGAAATGGGCCTGCAACTGGTGCGTCTATGAAAATAGGTGTACCCATAATATTTCCAATTGCCAAAGGAATGTCATTAGCGGAGAAAACGTGAGTTTGGTTTGCTCTTGCGCTTGATCGTACCGAAGCCCTTTGAAACAATTATACTTTCAGAATTCAAATATTCTTCCAAACCATGGCTACGCTTATTGCCCGCAATTTAAGAAACGTGATGTGATACTCCTCCCTAATAACGTTTTGAAAGAAATTGTATTTGAAGTAAAAAATTTACCCCATCCACAAGCCGGCCACTTTGGCTTTCAGTGTATAGTAGTTATAGAAGGTGCTACTATGTTAGTTCCTGCCAGAGTCGATGCAGACAAATATATTGTATGTGATAAAACGACGGTGAGTGTTTTGAATTGTTAAGAATTACCAATGCAAACTTGACAATCATTGTTCCAGTATTCGTACGAAGCCAACGAAGGAGAACATGAGGCTAGTGTTAAAGTAGTATGGAACAGAAGTCATCATATAGATTCTATTAATATTATTTTATACAAATGTGATATATTAGGTTCTCATAGAGAACACGCTGATTGTTCGTTGTGTGTTACCAGAAATTCCAAATACCAGTGCACCTGGTGTGGTAACTCGTGTCAGTATGCAGACACATGTCTGCATACACCACATATTGAGTGCCCTCGGCCTAGAATCGATGTGGTAAGCATCTACTTACTAACTACCACAGAAGTCAGAAGAATTATTTATGTTATTCTGCTTTAGATTAAACCGTTAAGTGGTCCTATTGAAGGAGGAACTCTTGTAACAATCGAAGGCAGTAATTTAGGGTTAAAAAAAGAAGACGTTCAAGGAAAAATAAGAATAGGTGACGTGCCATGCAAACTTGTTAACTACGAAGTGTCGGTGAGAATTCAATGTGTGACAGGGCCTTCTAGGACTGAGCATGCTGCTCCTATTATAGTTGGAAATGAAGCAGGATATACGAAATCCACTGTAGAATTTAGTTATCAGGATATAAAATTGACCGGAATTTATCCATCTGTCGGCCCACAGAGTGGAGGCACTTTAGTAGCAATTACTGGCAAATATTTGAACATAGGATCTGAAATAACTGCTTATTTGGATAATAATATATGTACAGTTAATTTGACACAGGCTTCAAGTGGTAGATTGACTTGTATAACTTCACGAGCCTCAAAAGTAGCTAATATCGCCAAATTAACATTAAGTATAGATGGTGCTAATCGTACTTTAGAAGGAAATCCTTTCAACTACACTCAAGACCCTACTATTATGGAAATTAAACCGTTGAATAGTTTTGTATCTGGTGGAAAAATGATTTTTGTCCACGGTACTAACTTGGATAGCATTCAAAGGCCAGAAATGGAGGTGTATTCTTACGGCGATACAAACATTCCTTTCAATAGTACCATTTGTACTGTGCTCAGCTCCACCCAAATGGAATGCCCCAGTCCTGCTGTTAATAGAGTATTTGAATCGTACAGAATGCGCGCCAAACGAAGTTTGAAAACTCTAGCGGCTATAAAGGTAAGGGCAATTAAAGTAACCTGCGATGTGAAGTTAAATTGAAATATTAAGTTTTGAACACAGGTCTGTTTTTCGAATTTTTTTCAGATGAGGGAACCAAAACTGATTCTTAAAGTCGGTTTTATCATGGATAATGTGCAAGCAGTGCGAAATTTGGAAAAACATTTTCCCAATTTACGATCATCGATTCTTTACGTAGACGATCCCAAGTTTATTCAGTTTCCAAATCAAATTAAGCTCTACAAAGGGGACACTCTTGTCATAGAAGGGGAAAACCTGAACGCTGCAAGTGACGAAACTGATGTCGTAGTCACCATAGGTACTAAGCCGTGCAATGTAACCAGTTTGGCTATGAGCCAACTTGTATGTTCACCGCCTGAAATGCAGCCTCCGGATACCGATGAAAACCATGTCAAAGTACGAATTTCATTTGATTCTTGAATACATATGAAAGGCCTCAAGCTAAAACTATGTTATGCCCTTGTTAGCAATTGATATATTAATATTAAGCTTCTGTAGAGGGGATGGAGTTATAAAATTACGAATTACAGTTTTTTGCTAGTATTGGCATTTGGGCAAGGAAGAGAAAATGAACATTGACTCACTATTTTTGACAAGTTTAAACATACCTATGTATAAATAGGTCGTGGGTATGGATTTGACTGGTACACTCGAGTCCAATTTCTTTTGTTTGCTTAAACTGGAATAACACAGTTGAGTTTGCGGCATTTTACTTTGTACAATTCTAGTTTATGTTTTTTAGTTAGTTGTATTTCACATTTCATTGATTTTTTCCTTTTAGACTGAAACAAATCTGCCGTTGGTTGTTGTGCGAGTAGGCAAAAGTTTGAGGTTTCCCATAGGCTATTTAAAATACGACTTGTATAAAACGTTCGCTTTTCCTCCAGAGGCGATCATTTTGATTACAGTTTGCATTATATTGTTTGCTTTTTTCTTCGTGGCCGTACTTTTTGTATACCGCAGAAAATCTACCCAAGCAGAACGAGAGTACAAACGCATTCAAATTCAAATGGATACATTGGAAAGTAATGTTCGATCCGAGTGCAAGCTAGGTAATTTTTTCCATTAGTATAGGAAATATAAGATAGTGATTTGTGCTAGATGATTTAATGTCAACTATTTTATGACATTAATATTATAAAGCTTTTTTTGCAGCTTTTGCTGAACTGCAAACGGATATGACGGATCTGACTGCTGATCTGGAAAATTCCGGCATTCCAACCTTAGATCACACTACGTATATAATGAAAGTGTTCTTCCCGGGTGTTAGTGACCATCCTATATTAAATGCACTTAAGGTATGAAATATGTTCGAATCACTCAAAACCTATTTTAGAAACATTGTGTATGCGAATTTCAGGTGAGGCTTAATGGGCCTAAGACGAATTATGATGCCGCTATGTTGCAGTTTGATCAGTTGATCAATAATAAATACTTTATTCTGACTTTTATAGATATTTTAGAAGATCAGAAATCGTTCAATATCAGAAACAAGTGAGTATGTGCCTGGGTTTCTAAATACACAAAAGTCCCATTTTTATTTTTCACTTACCCGAGTTCTGTTAGATATGCCCTCTATTTGTATATACAGGGTGTTTTTTTTATCCGAGGAGCAAATATTTCAAATAAGAAGTTAATATCTGGGAGGGGAAAGTTTATTCGTGTCAGAAGAACAACGCCTACTTCGACCTTGTAGGCTAGGCAGGGGTCGACTTGAGAATTTCAAATGGTAACCACAACATTTTATTGAAGATTCGAATAGTGCGTCAAAAACTGGGAATAATTTATCTAAAACATTTTCTTCGATTTTGACAGGTGGCGCTGTAATCCATCAATTATCAATTTTTTTGCTTTAGATCTGCTAAACTATCGGTTATTTAATTGAAACGCTGAAAATTTTAGTGTGACCAATAGCATCTATTAATTTCAGATGAATATTCGGTTTGAAAATTGTTTGATGATGAAAATCAAATATGTATCTCCAAATCAACAAAGCTTCTATTTGTTTATTAAAAGTATAGCATTGATAGTTTGAAAATTCGCATTGCCAATACGTTACATTTCGAAATGTATTTTGAATTTGAAGCTGTCAAAGTCATCTAAAATTTCTCTCAACTCAATGTAGGAACACTGATAAAAGCGTAGACATTTCAAATTGTTGACTTTGACATTTATTAATTTCGTTCTGGGTTAGAAACACTATTTGAATTTGATTTAAATAAGCTACTATAATTTTTGATATGGGGGCATTAACTGTGCAAGAAAAAATTGAAATTATTTTTGTATACGGAGAAGCCGGCCGATATACTTTCAATAAACAAATAGATGTTTTGTTGATTGGAAGGTACATATTTGATTTTCATCATCAAACAATTTTCGGACTGAATATTCCTCTGACATTAATAGATGCTATTGGTCACACTAAAATTTTAAGCGTTTCAATAAAATAATAGTTCAACTCTAAATCTGAATTTAAAGAAAAAAAAATTATAATTGATGGATTACAGCGCCACCTGTCAAAATCGAAGAAAATGTTTTAGATACATTATTCTCAGTTTTTGACGTACTATTCGAATCGTCAATAAAATGTTGAATAATAATGGAAAATAATTGTTTCCATAACAATACAAATAGATAGCAAATTATAATTTAAATTATCGTTTACACACACGTGTACCGTATACATTTTATGTTTTAGAGTGAATGTAGCTTCATTGCTGATGGTAGTGCTAATGGATAAAATGGAGTACGCAACTGATATTCTGAAAAGCTTATTATTACGTTTAGTAGAGAAATCTGTAAATAGTAAGCACCCTCAGCTAATGCTACGCCGTACAGAAAGTGTAGTCGAAAAAATGTTAACAAACTGGATGGCGCTGTGCATGTATCACTATCTCAAGGAATATGCTGGATCGTCCTTATTTGTGTTATTTAAAGCCATTAAGCACCAAATTGAAAAAGGTTTAGTAGATGCCATAACACATGATGCAAGATATTCGTTATCCGAAGAAAGACTGTTAAGAGAAAATGTTGAGCACAGCTCAGTTGTAAGTGCTCGTAGGTAACGAGTTAATTTTGGGTAAATGGAAAGAATTTCGAATTTTAGACCTTGCACATAGTTCAAGATGATCTGGACGAAAAAATTCAATGTAAAGTTCTTGACTGTGATACTATAAGCCAAGTTAAATCTAAAATTCTGGATGCTTTATTTAAAAATACACCGTTTTCGTTGAGGCCGTCCATACATGACGTTGATTTAGGTGAGCAGACGGTCTTCTGACCCCATAATTTGTATATTTAACATAAGACAAACTTATTTTAGAATGGAGGCATGGCAGAGGTGGACATTTGACTCTTCAAGATGAAGATCTTACGAGCAAGAACATAGGAGGGTGGAAAAAGCTGAATACCTTGGAACACTACGGTGTGAAAGAGAGTGCAGTTATGTCATTAATAGCCCGACAAAACGATAGTTATACAAATTGTAAACAACCTTGCCACAATTGTGTGTCAAGTATGTACCTAAACCATTCGCAGACTCCCATAATTTCTCATCCAAACGGGGACGTGGAAGCTCCAAACTATCCTAGAGTTTTTCACTTGATCAAACCAATTGAGGATCATCATTTTCCTAGCAACCGGGTGCCTCATGAACGAACTCATAAAGCTATACCAGAAATATTTTTAACTAGGTTATTGTCAACTAAAGGTACTATTCAAAAATTCGTTGACGACTTTTTTATGACTATACTTACTGTTAATGACGCTTTACCACCTGCCATTAAATGGCTTTTTGATCTTTTGGATGAAGCAGCTAGAAAACATGGTATTCAGGACCCCGAGGTGGTTTATGCATGGAAATCAAATAGTCTTCCTTTAAGATTTTGGGTTAACTTTATAAAAAACCCGGATTTTATTTTCGACATTAATAAAACGAATACTTTAGACTCAAGTTTGTCGGTTATTGCACAAACATTTATGGATGCCTGCTGTACAACGGAACATAGATTAGGAAAGGATTCACCGTCCAATAAGCTTTTATTTGCTAAGGTAAGTTGTGGTATAGGAAAACGGATAAATCAGTAAGCACAATATTTATATTTTGTGTATATGTTACGGTTAAACTTCGAATTTGGCTCGATATTAATTTTGTAATATTGGAATTAACGTCAAGGTAAGATTTCGAACGTTACTCGTAACGATTTTTAACGTATTTAACGTATTTATTTAGAAAAGGAAACATTTTTCCCAATTTATGATAATTTGTGTCTTTGAAATCGTGCCGACTAGGAAGCACTCTGTATATAATTTTCAGGATATATCAAGATACCGAGAGATGGTATCACAATTTTATGCAGATGTAGCAATGCTACCCGTTATGACAGACCAAGAAATGGGATCAGCTATGCAGCAACTGTCAGCTCAGCAAGCTGAAGAATTCGATACGGTGGCAGCTTTGAAAGAATTATATATTTACGTTGCGAAGTATAGAGAACCAGTAAGCTGTTTCGCACAGGGAAGGATTGGCAAAAGTTAATTTTTGTTTTCAAGTTGCTGGAGGCCCTCTCGTCCGATCCCATTTGCTGGCGGTTGAATTTGGCTCAGAAATTGGAGAGTATCGCCTACACACTGGGAGGGGAGGATACATCGGGATGCTGACCTCATGAGTCACCTGATCAGCTACTGCTTCATTCATTGGCATCTTGACTGCACACTGAGCACACGCACGTTTTTGTTGACAGTATTAATGAAGTTTTAGTTTTGCTCGGCATGTCTCACAATAGTTGAAAATTTTTATATTTAGCTCTCTATCCATCCACCAATCCAATAGTTAAAGAATTGCAAATCTTTGTATATTTGTCCATTCTATTCAATCTATAATTCATAATGTATTATTAAAGTAAATTTTTCAATTCCGTTCTAATTTGAATTTTTTTGGCATCTTATATGGGTTTTGAGTACATACAGGGTGTTCGGATAATGTGTTAGTAAATTTTTAAGGGTGATTCTACATGCTAAAATAATGGTATTAATTCATGAAACAAAAATTCGAAATCTGAAAAGTTTCCGAGTTACAGCTCATCAAACTTCCTTTTTTTCTTTCAATTTTTTATCTATTCTGGACATTTCCTCGCGAATCAATTTGGAAATCGGTACAGAGTTTAGGCTTAGTGATCTACAACTTTCTGATAAAAAATTGTGTCTCCACTTTACCACTAGATGATCTGAAATCCAAATTAAATGTTTCGTATATCTTTTTTGCCACGCCAAATATCGCAAAAAGTAATGTGCTATTTTAAAGGTTAGAAAGCACTAGCCAAAAAATGTGCTCTTCACAGGACTCAAAATACCTCTTCGTTTGGTAGCAAATCGACATTAAAGTTTTTATCACTTTCAAACCAGTATACTTGGATTTAATTACAATCGCGGTAAATCAAGTCATCTGGTTTTAAAATGTCCCAAATTTGAAAATATAGTAATTGTTGTATCACTGTTCGATTTAAACTAAATTTTTACCGATCGACATTTGTACCGATTTTCAATTTTATACGCGAAGAAATGTGCAGAATAGGTCAAAAAAGAAGTTTGACGAGCCGTAACTCGTAAAATATTCAGATATCGAATTTGTCTTACATGACTTACTATCATTATTTTAGCATGAACAATCACTCTTAAAAGTGTTCTCACGCATTATTCAAACACCCTGTAATAACTTTGTTAATTTTCAATATAGTTTAGTTTAAGTCTCCTGAATAAAAAAATAAGGCTTTAATCTTTAACTGAACGATTGAACATTCAATACATATTAATCATTCCTACAGCTCAAAACAACGCGGAAATTCCTAATAACATTTTTTCACTGGAGAAACGCTGTCACACTCAGTCCATGGGAAATATAATTACTGCATAGCATATAATGACTGGAACTGTTTTACAAATGGTATATTTTATATTTATTAGAGAAGCGACTAATTTAGGGAATATTTTATCTATGGGAAATAGCTGAAAGCGAAGCTCCCTCCGAATGTCTCAATGTCGCGAAATTTACAACGTTTATTTCGTCATAAAACTTTAAGTTTATTATCAAGTTAAGAGTAATTTGTGTTGCGATATGTCGAAAATATTTGAAATTCCATATTTTGTGACAGCAGAAACCTTATCAAATTTGAATGCAACGATTTTTATCTTTTTTTTGTTAACGAAGCAGCTGTATATTTAACTGTGTTATTCTGTGATATGGCGCATGATCAGGTGACTGACTATTCCATGGATGTGTACTTACCCTCCAGCGGTCACTAGTTTCCTTCCTGAGTGCCTCGCTACGCTGATGGGACGAAAAGTGGATAGTGTATTGCGCGCGCACAACACTCTAAAAGGCATTTTAAAACAACAGCGCACTTTGAAGGCTCTCTTTTGTTTTGCAGCATCTAATCTACTTGAATTTGATAAATATTCTCGAAGGAAACAAAGGAGAGTGTCAAATATCGTTCGGTCCGGTTAGCTTAGTTTTAAGTAGATATAGTAATTGATTGTATGTGTATGACTGATATTCAACTTCGATTTGTAGGCGTACTTTAATTTTTTTCGAGGATAGGTTTAATGATGTTAACAATTTTTGTTTGTGCGTTTACTGACAGATCTCTATCAACGTGGTTACGTGCTTGAGGTCCAAGCTTGTTTTGTGCGGAGTGCCTTTTGGTTTAGGGCAGTTTAAAGTAGATGCCAAGTTAGTAGATTCCTATCCAGATCTGTGAGTAATGCACATAAATTTACATGACATTCTTGCTTGAAAGCTCGAAACATTTTAAAACATCACAAGCGTATTTACAAAAATAATTTTTTAAACTGGTACATTGAATTTGATAAATTGACATTTTTGATTCCTGAATGCAATGCTAAAAATAATAGTGATGGGATTTAAAGTGAATCAAAATCACGTTTACCTGTTATAGTCAGGTGAATTTAAATTGTGGTTTTAAATGGTTAATCTAAGTGATTCACCGATCGACAGTCTAATTTATGTATATTTCATGCAATCCCTATCTAGAGCATAGTGCAGTTGAATAATGTTGTCGAACAATTAAAAGTAACGCTAACCTAGAAAGTAACATGGCAAACAATATTCAATACAATAATAGAAATTTACTGATAGTTTGATAATGTCGTCACTATAATTTTTTTCTTGCGGCAAGTACTTGGTCTATGAGGATTTTTTGGCAATATTCCTGTTATTTCGATGTTATTTTCTTATTTGTGTTCAACAATACTATTTTGAAGTATCGACTTTTTTTAATTATGATCTCTCATGTATGATTCACTGCTTCTAATTATTAACTAAATCAGCTCGATATTAAGATTTGTTAGCTAATTCGGTCTTGCCTATCGTAACATTAGCGCGTTCTTTTCAATATTTTTTTAGTTGAAATAACAGAAAAAGTTGTTAAGTATTCAACTTTTTGTTTTTTTTGTAAATATATGAAATGTGCATATAGATTATTATATCGGGTTTATAAAAGTGTTTATAAATTAGGCATACATTCATCGATATTAGATTGTGTTAGAAGAATTGTTTTAATACTTTACTCATGTACATGTAGGAAGGCCTTTTCAAAGTGTAATTGTTGGGGGGAGGGGGCACACGCGCCTATATTTTTATTAACATAATTGCTATGTAAACATGTGTTCGAATAATCATTTTGAATAGGCCCAATTTTTTTTTATATAGATATCGATGTTTCACCTTAAAGTATCAATAAATTCAAAGATTCTTAGGTAAAATAATACAGACTGTAAATCGGTTAAATTAATACTTGTTTAGAGTATGTTTTTTTATCTTATTTTTCACTTATTCTGTAATTTGATCGTGAATTAAAGCTTTTTATATAAAACGTATTGTTTAGTGATATTTTTTTACTCTATTAAACATGTATTCCAGATAAATCTGTTTCAATATTTATTACCCATTTTTTCACGCATGGATACTTGCCGTAATTGTGCTTATAAAATGGATTATTCCGGAGAAATTCGGATATGTAATCCTATAGAGAAAAGCTTCAAATACTACTAGCAAATGCAACCCTATTATCCAATGGGTGTTTGCTTATGCAGAATGTTTCATTCATTGTGAATGGATAAGAGCTTGAGTCAATAATAACGAAGAAGTCGGCTAAAGATCGTGATCTCTCAAAAAACGCTTAAAATTAAAAAAAAATCGAACCCCACACTTAAAAAAAATTTCGGCTAAAAATCAAAATTTCACTCATACCCAATCGTCAATAATTCATTTATTCCACAAGGAACATTTTCCGCATAAAATCAGTACTTTTTCACTTTCGAAAAAATCAACAACCTTCGTTGCCTATATATATAACCTGATCGACCAATCGCTTGTCGACTTTGAATACAAGACATGTATAATGGCAACGAGTGAATATAAACAAATCAACTTTTAAATCAGCTGGGGGATGTTCTGTGGATAAAACCAAGTATTCGCTTGGCGTGAGTTACGTGTGACCACCCCGAAGACTGGCTGCTGTTTAGAAATAATTCAATCTGACAATTACAAGGGCGGATCCAGGGGTGGGGGTCCCCCCATTCAATTCTCTATCCAACGATGCCAAAACGAATTCTGTGACTCGAATGGTTCTTGAGAAACTTCGAAAAAAGCAGCGTCATGTTCAAGTGGATGTTGCAACTCAAAAAAAATCACGAAAATCTAAAACTTCGTCAATTCAAGCATTTTTTGAGAAAACTGCCAACAATTCCCCAACCATGGTTCACTTTCTAAAAAGGCCATTTATTTCTGTCTAGAATGATGTAAAAATGAGCGATCTTGCTCATTTTGCCTCCGAGATATGGGCAAAAACGGGACGGAAAACACGAAATTTTGGCAGAATGTTGCACCTAAATGTCTGATACTCAAATTTCGCTTTCTGGGTCAAAACTACTCGAATTTCCTCACTCACGTTGCTACGACTGAATCGACTTTTCCATTCTCTATCCAACGATGCCAAAACGAATTCTGTG